TCCCAAACTGTACATTAAATTACAGCCCCTATCCACTGCATACATACACTATAAACCTGATCCCCTCCCACCCACATGTTCTCTAAAACCCCAATTTCACAGCACACACAACAGCCCCATTTACCACCAAATATACCTTACTGCCTCTACCCCCAAACCCACCCTGCAGCCCCAATACTCCCCAACACACACACCCACTTCAGACATGATCCCTCTTAGCAGACACTTCAGCCCCTATCAACGTGCAGCGCTTATTTATATGCCCATACACATACTGCATCACAGCCCCACGCACACGCACAAAGAGAGAAGGATCTCCTATTTAGTATCCTCTCACTTCTATTCTTTTTGTCTATAGATTATTTGTAAAGTACTTTGGCTTTTTATTAATGCAATATATTACATTTTATGATTGCATATTTTTGCTGTAGTTTTCTAGTCATTTTGTTGCTTTTATTTTGTTTTCTTTCTTTTTGGTTTTTTTGTTTGTTTGTTTTGCTTGGTTTAAGTGACCTATGTATACATTGTTACTGTTTCGGATATCTAGTTTGATGCTTTCGTCTATACATGGGCATTATATAAATGTTTGTAATTATTCAGTAAAGATCATATCGTTTTTATTTGTTGTCCTCCTCATTCATTTATCATTGGCTACATTTTCAGACTCTGTGGGGAATAGTTATTGAGAGAGCAGTCCGTCTCGTTTTGGTCTGGTTCTGTTTATGTCTATTAAAGTTGTTGGTTCTGTGGTGTGCCCTCCTAAATTTTTTTATAAATGCAATCTGCATTGTTGCAGTGTTAGTTGTGAATTGCCCTGACAGTGTGTAGAAATGGAATGGTTATGTGGCTGATTCTGGGAACACACAAAAACACCCGCATTTCAAGGCAAAATTGTAAAAACCTGTATTAGTGCAGCTAATCGGGTTACCAGATTCACCACGTTCTCAGGGACACATATAATGTCATATTTATAAAAATGCATGAAAAGGGTTGCCCTGCAATATGTATGAATCATGCAGGATTATTCAGTGCTTAATAGCTTAATCTTAGCAAACTTCTTCTGAATTCTACATACCACAGGGCAAACCTTGTGTTGCCCACCAATGTGATGTGTTGCCCACCAATATGTATAGGTTATATGTGTCCCTAAAACCATGGAGAATCTGGTAACTAGTGAAATGCATCCCTGCACAACGGTAACTATCAGTGAGACATTGCCATTTGGCTCATGTACCTTTTTTGTGTGTGTGTGTGAAATAATGCAGAATACAGTGTTGCTACTTATTAATACTGTAACAGATGTTTCTCTGAAATAACACTGTATTCACTAAGCTTTCAGTATATAAATGCAACAGATGTGTGTGATCTAAATGGGACAGTGGCACATTAGTTCTGTAGCATTGCATTAATAGGACATTGTCATTTTTCTATACTAGGCAATAATTATAATAGGAATTCAGTGTATTTTAGTGCTTTCTAATCTAAATTTAGCTAGAATCTCTGTTCAGCACACTGTAAAGTAGTATGCTATTCATCAGTTTGCACGTGACCATCATGTATTGCATTTATACTATATATACACTAAACATCAGCTCCAATGCTCACAAAATTTATATAACACGTGACATAGGCATGGGGAATTAGTTACAGTATATGATGACACATTGCATAAGCCTGCCACAACGTTAATACACCACATTTTTGTCAGGTCATATTCTAACAATCTAATGCCTGATCTTATGAGATTAATCTACTTACTTGGGAAATCCTTCCTCCTGGGGCTCTCTGCAGTTCGAGGTTAATAGGGCACTGGAGTACATTTTAAAAAAAATAGTCCACTTAATTTAGGCATTAATTAATAAGATGTTTTCCAAGAGTTCCATGACCCTGAGCTCACAGCCAAGAAAACACAAGAGTTACTTAAGGACGGACAACCCTGTGATGTCCTTGGGTGTCCCAGTCAAAGCCTGGAATTAAACCCATGAACATCTCTGTAGAGACCTGAAGATGGCTCTCCATGAGCCTCCCTAATCACCCACACAAAGCGAAAGAGGATCTGCAGAGATGATGTTGTAAACTATCAGAATCCAGATGTGCAAAGCTTGTCACATTATACTGCTATATTGAGTTAAGTTTGAATATGTCAATAAGATATTCCAGGTTTTTTTCTATTTAATACACTTGCAATGGTTTACAAAATCTTATTTTTGCTTAGCCATTATGGCATATTGAGTGTATATTGATGTGAAAAAAATAATCATTTAAATAATTGTAGAATCAGATTGCAAGATACAAAATGTGAAACAAAATTAAGGGATCTGAATACTTTCTGAATGCACTGTATTTATATAAGCAATGTCTACTTTAATTACCACCTCCTCTGGGCATTTTAAAAATAAACATCCAATTGTAAATAGTTTAGAGTGTTACGACTGTATATTTATATATGCACTAGACAAACGTTTGATTGAAAAAAAATATCAAATGTCTAACTACAATACTCAACAAAATGGGATATGTTTATATCTTGGAAAAAGCTCCAAAAATGGAACAAACAGGAGCATTCTGTTGGTTTCCATGGTGACTGCTGTAGAATTTATACGTTGCCCAACGATTGCCTCAATTTGTCTTTTACATATGTAGTCCAATGTAAAGTCTCAATGTTTTACAAGTCATAAATAACTCTATTGTACTAACAACATGAAAGCAGAGGTCCTCTCCATTCTCATTGTGACTTGCCTTCTGGTTTATTTAATGCTTGAAGCAGTGCAAAAAGAATATTCCATCTTTGATGTAACAGTCAAGTTTTCATGCAGTCTAAAATCCTTTGAGATTTATGGCAACATACATCAATACAGATTGCACCTATAATCATGGTTTACTATATTTTTTTTTTACCTGTTAGGTGTTAAATTTGTGTATGTGTAAAAAAAAAAATAATAATAATAATAATATATACATATTACTTTTTTGTAATGGAATATTGTTCACTATTGTAACAATGCAGTGTTTGTGGGCCCAGGACATACTTGAAAACAAGAGAAATCTCAATGTATCCATCCTGGTAAAATAGTTTTATAAATAATATTCAAGACAAGATCATCCAAGGAAAAGAGGAAAGTGTTGTGACATAATCGAAAAAGATAGGATATGGTCCATTACAGAGCATAACTAGTGCTTAAAGAGACACTAAACAAATACGAAATAAATACAAATAACTGTTTCGTAGATATACCCAAATGAAAACATTCATGTATTTTATCATGCTTATTTTTTTGTTTGGGGGTAAATCTAAAAACAGCTTGCAAAAGCTGTAGATCTCTTCTCTGCCGCCTTTGCAAACCCTCCCCTTCTAATCCCACCCAGACTTTCTGTGGCTGTCCAATCACAGACATCCCAGTGCAGCTCAATGAGAAGTGTTTGCAAGGCAGGTGCTTTGGGCAATTGCTTCCTCTTGAGTGTATCTCCACTGAGCTAACCAAACCAGGAAGTAACAGGACCTTTTGTCTGCTTGAAAGGTGTGAAACTATGTTAATTTGTAAAAATGTAAACATTTCTATTGGAATCTGCACTTTTTGCTAAATGAAATAGAGAGGACTCTTCACACATAAAGCTTTTCAGCAAGCTGAATTTTTTTTAGGAGTCTGGAGTGTCCCTTTAAATTGAAAACTCCATAATGTGGTGAGCAGTTTAATTTGTCCTAAACAAAAAGCATGCTGCAACATAGTTACTAATATACAAAAACTGATGCAAAAACAGTAACTCCACAATGAATTGTTCTGAAATGTTTTTAATATGGGTATTGAAATTGTTAGTACTTAAAGGGAAACTCCAGTGCCAGGAAAACAATCCGTTTTCCTGGCACTGCAGGTCCCCTCTCCCTCCCACCTCCCAATCCCCAGTTACTGAAGGGATGAAAACCCCCTTGAGTGACTTACCAGAGGCAGCGACATGTGCCATGTCGCTGCTTCTTCCTCCGGCGAGACTGATCCTGCCCACCGGCCGGGGAGACTTAATGCACATGTGCGGCAATGCAGCATGCGCATTAGAGCTCCCCGTAGGAAAGCATTGAAAATGCTTTTCAATGCTTTCTTATGGGGAATTGAGCGATGCTGGAGGTCCTCACACAGCGTGAGGACGTCCAGCGACGCTCTAGCACAGGTTTTCTGTGCTTTGATGCAGGAAGTGCCCTCTAGTGGAGTTAGAGGTGGCGTTAACCCTGCAAGGTAATTATTGCAGTTTATAAAAGTGGGAGTTGGCACCTAGACCACTCCAATGGGCAGAAGTGGTCTGGGTGCCTGGAGTGTCTCTTTAATGGCTACAGGGATTTATTGCATGGCTAATGAAAGTTACGTTTTAGGATTATATTCAGTGCCCAGCGTATCATGCGCCTATAGTTCACCATTCTACAACTAGTATGATACAAAAGACATTGCATATGCACACACTTTTTTACATGGAATCAAGTTATTTCATTTCTTACCTGGGGTCCATTGGGTACTGGTCACTGCCTCTCCTCTTCCTGTATGGAGAGATAGAAGCTCTTGCTAGGAGCTTATGTTAGCTTATTCTCAAAGAGCAGCAGGTGATCACTCTAAGCCAATGAGCTAAGCCATGCCCCACAAGGCTTAGTTTAGGGCAGAGAGCTTCTAGTTGTCTGGGACCGGGGGCCCAACGGATACCACATAAGAAATTAAACGGTTAGCAAATGGTTTGGCTACTTACACCACAGTTCACCAAACCATATATAGCATCAAAATAGCTCTGTAATGGTTATTTGATTGAAGTGTTCCTTTAATGGTTATGCTAGGAGTTCAGCCATTATATGAAGCTATCTACAGCACTGAAACAAAAAATTAAAAGACAACTGCAAAATTATAAGTTCCACAGGTTCTACTATTTACAGGTTTACTTTTCAGTAAAATTAACAATTTTATTTAGTCTATAAAGTACTGACATTTCTCCAAAATTCCAAATATTGCATTTATTTGCAGAGAATGGCAACAGTGAAAATAAAAAATGAATAAATACAAATGCAGTGTCTTCAGACCTCGAATAATGCAAAGAAACAAAGTTCAAATTAATTTTAAAAACCACAGTACTAATGTTTTAACTTCAGAAATCAACATTTGCTGGGATAACCCTGGTTTTCAAACACATCGTTGAATGCTCTCCACCAGTCTTTTACATTACTACTGGTTGACTTTATGCCCCTCGTGGCACAAAAATACAAGCAGCTCCACTTTATTTCATGGTTTATGACCATCCACCTTCCTCTTGATCACATTCCAAAGGTTTTCAATTGGGTTGAGGTCTGGAGATTGGGTTGGCCATGACAGGGTCTTGATCTGGTGGTCCTCCATTCACACCGTAATTTTGTGGCATGGAGCATTGTACTACTGAAAAAAGAAATCCTCACAGTTAGGGGACATTGTCAGAGCAGAAGGAAGATAACCATGTATGTGCCTTTTATAAAGATGAAGCTGCCCCAGATCACAAACGATCCTGCACCAAATTTCACAGTGGATGCAAGACACTGTGGCTTGTAGGTCTCTCAAGGTCTCCTCCATCTTACCATTAGACGACTAGGAGTTAGGCAAACTTAAAAATTGTATTCATCAAAGAATGAGAGAGGGTGACCTTACTCCAGTCCTCTACTGTACAATCCTTTTTAGTTTTTAATGTATAATGTTTATTGAAGTTTACATGACCAATACAATAAAGACAATGAAAAATAAAGGCACACGTCTCCCCCACACAATATACTTAGCTTAAGGTAGGTAACATAAAAACAAAGGCTCTGGTCCAAGCATATCAGACAATTAGCACACTAATGATAGAACTCTCCAAGTGGTATAAGCAGATATCATTAGTGTCAGTCATAAAACTGAAACTTTTAACTCACTGGGAAATTTAAGGGTGGCAATTGTAAATACATTGTACACTTATAATATTGTTAATAATTACAGTCCAATCCTTATGGTATTTTGTGAACCTCAGGCTGATGAAAGGCTTTTTGTTTCTTATTGTTAAAGGTGGGGTTTTTTTTCCAGCTTTGCACAACTTCAGCCCTGCCCTTGAGCCTGTTCCGAACAGTCCTCACTGGCACGTTACCCTAGCTGCCATTTGCCATTCTTTTGTAGATACTTTATGTCATCCTATGATTGATGAGATTCAAATAAGATTCAAATGAGTTGGCAGTCATCCTTGTCAGTAGAGTCATTTTTGCCCTCTCCTGTTCTGTAGCTTTGTTGTCCCCAATGTCTCCTGTTTGACCTTGTTTTCACGAACTGCTGGCTTTGCAATTTTAAAGATGGAAGCAACCTGTTGCCAATTGTATCTCTATGCCAGTAAGCCAGAATTGAACTCTTCGCTTTCATCACTTAAAATCTTTTTTTTTTAACTCTTTTGGCATGGTCAATTGGTATTTTTTTATTCCAAATACTTTTTAGGCACTATGAGCATTTTCATTGCCATCCAGCTGGTCCTGCTATAAGAGGATAGTGTTAACCACCGCAGTGTTTTTCATACCCTTCCTCTTTAAATAATATTTGATTCAGGTGATCACCTAATCTGTACCTCATTAAGTAGAGTGAGGTGTCCCTGTGTTGGAATTCAACAGATATTGGAATAGAATGTCAGCAATATATGTAGAGATACTAATTTAAGAAAATAATGGAGTGTTCTCCTACATTTTTTTACAGAGCTGTACGTGTTAAACTTAATTTTTTCCTTTGTAGTTTGTATCCTTTGTATTCTATATCGTGAAATCTATAAAGCTAATCGCCACCCCACAATCACCATATTTCTCCAATATCATATTTTATTAATCTCACCACACAACTGAATTAACCTCCCAAACCAGAATTATAGTCTCTCCCAAATTATTTATAAAACCCTGTGCTTCATATCCCAGTCTCATTAAAGGGACATTCTAAGCACCAAAATCACTTCATCTTAATAAAATAGGTTGTGTCTCTTTTTTCAGGCAATTAAAGCCATCTATATGAAAACCATGAATAAAACACATCTAGTGACGGTCAAGGTCAATAATGTCATATTGATAGTCTTGAAATGTTTTCTTGCAGTTAATATCTAATTATTTGAAACAAACCAATAAACCATTGTATTTTAATTGCACAAGAATAATTTTAATGTAAACATGGCAAATGAACAATGGTGCATTAAATAAATGTTTAAAAGGTGAACTGATGTCTTGTAATGGCACTATAAATGCAAAAGTGCATAGATAACAATGTAATACTACAACATTCAAATAAATGATAAAAACACATAGTTATTACACTATGACAGTGGACTTTATGCAGTAAAGAGTGGGTTGTGATGACTTTAGAACCAACAAGAAAGGTGTATTAAATCTGCAGTACAGACAAGTTGTACATTGATTCCAACACACCTGTCAAAATCTAGTTTTCCATTTGTTAATTAAGCACAATGCACTCACTGTTTGGTGATTATACACCCGTGTTTAACAGAATGTAATTGTTAATCTATAATATATTGTGTTAAGGTCACTTTATCCATTAAAGCAATGAAGTGGTTACGTACTTCATCAATCCATTATATTTCTCTATCAAGGAGAATGTGATGACACTGGGGGTGTAAGGTAAAGAGATATAAAGTAACAAAGAAGGCCAGTCTTTTTAAATCCTGCAACTCATCATTTCGCTTCCTGTGATTCTGAAAGTGGTCAACTGAGCATCGTAACCATTACAGCTCTTTGTGATGTTATGGTGCAAAGCATCTCTAAGGGCTGTCCTTGTGCTTTAGATCAAACCCCTTTCGACAAAAATAGGGTTCTCCTGGTGCCAACAGCCAGAACAGGCTGCTGTTTGACTAATGCAGTAGAAAACTCTTATATTAGCCTATCCAACCTTGGGTGGCCTAGTTTAGCCCAGTGCCCTCAGACTACCAACACATAATTTGGACAATTTAATGTGGACTTCAACTTCTAAATCAACCATCTAGTAGCAGAGGGGTGAGGCGCTAGGAACCAGGAGAGTGACAGTTTCTGTCATACCACTTACAAACCGTTTAAGTAAATTAGGGAGATGGCGTCACAGACTCTGCACAGTAATTATTACAGTGAGCTGTAGTGGTTATGGTACTTACAGGGTTTGTTGTGAGGCTCCTCCAATATGCATGTTCTGTTAATATTGATTGATCCAAGAGCATTGAGCAGAGAGGTACATCAAATTACTCCCATTAGGAAAGAGTATATTTGTTTAATGTCTTTCATTTACACATGTATAAGACAAAAAACAAAAAGGGAGTGTGCAATGCTCACCTCCAGTAATCGGTCATTTTTTTAATGGAAGCAAAATAGCTTGATTCAGTTGTTTAGACTTTTTAGCATTGCTTGTTAAGTTCTTATTTTCTCCTTTCTCTACACTCTTCTATTTTAAATATTAGATGTTTAGTGCTACAGTAGCTTGATCATCTTAGAGAAGAAAACTAAGGCAAATGGGGGTTTTCTGGACAAGATTTTGAAGTACTAAGCACTTATTCTGCAAGATGTTAAAATATATAAAATATATATATATATTAATAATAAATGATTTTAATGTCTTCTCTGTATTGTCTAGTGATGGGCTCAGTATTTAACCCTTGCAACACTTAGTCTATTGGTGGCAAGCAGGAATTTGTGTGAGCCTGAAAAAGGGGGGGCTAAGTGCTATACAATTTGTCTCTGGAAAAGCCCCATTGCATTCTGAAATACATAGAGAGTTAATAAATAGTTATTGTTTCACTAGGATAAGAATAGCTGAATAGACTGGGTTTAAATAAATTCACATCAGACTCTCAGATACATTAGTGATGTCTGCTCATTAACTAGGAATTGTGGAGAGAGAATTGCAAAACTTAGAACAGCTGGAAATATGAAAAATGTATGTGACAAAATGTATATGACTATTTTTGTCTAATGCTTCTTGTAAATTCTCTGCAAGTCACAATTTAGTGAATAAACCACTGTTTTTGTCTAAATGACAGCTGCCTAAAAACATGGGATTTGGCACATTTGCAAGAGCTTGGAAATGAATGATAAATGTTAAAATGTTGATTAATTGAGTGCACTACATGATGTAGCAGTAAATAAATAATTTATAAACATTAGATGTATCTGTCATTTTACAGACTGTGTTCCCCTGTTCCAAAGAGTCTTGCTGTATAATAATCTCAATCACATTTTCTCCCATATCCAGATTCATGTATTTTTAATAGCAGGTGACATTTTTTTGGCTCACACTTCTACATTCTGGAAAAGAATTGAGTGTGTAAAGTGCAAAAGTGTGCCATTTAGAAAAGGGCAATTGCCATGGAAACCAATGGAACATTTCTGATGATTCATTTAATTTAACTTAGCAACCTAGTTTTTTGTTTTTAAGTTTTTTTATTCACAGTTTGTTTGTTAATATCCCCATTGTTAAAAATCTTTTCAACCGACAAAGAAACGCTATAATTAACAGGTAGTTTTGGCACTTTGCATACAGTGTAGCAGAACATATTCTATCTAAGACGCTTTGTGGTTTGATTGTATTAAACCTATTTTATGTCCCTGTTAGATATCTTGCAGTTCATAGTATGTACTGTGTATAACTGTAAACATTCAGACCTTATAAACTGGACATGTGTAATCACAGAGAGAGAGAGAGAGAGAGAGAGAGAGAGAGAGAGAGAGAGAGAGAGAGAGAGAGAGAGAGAGAGAGAGAGAGAGAGAGAGAGAGAGAGAGAGAGAGAGAGAGAGAGAGAGAGAGAGAGAGAGAGAGAGAGAGAGAGAGAGAGAGAGAGAGAGCACTGTGCACAGAGATTGATGTCAGGCTCTGCTACTATTCTCTTTAATCTACATATACAGTGTTTGAAACAAATGTTTAGCAGGGACGTTTTTAAATAATCTCATATGTGATTGTTCTTTGTTTTTTTTTTGTTTTTTATCTACTTCACAAGCTTCCAGTAAGTGTAAATTCCGTTACTGTATAAAGATGCACAGTGAATAATATTGTATGGATGTTTACATATTAAATATGATAGATGTGTGTACTATATGTATGCGTTTGGATATATAGAGTGAGATGGGTGGATGGATTAATGGATGGGTTTATTTTTATGTGCAAAGAAAACAAGTGTGTGTGTGTGTGGGTGTGAGAGAGTCAGTGTGTGTCTGTGTCTCTGCTGTGTGACTCATTTCAGGTAAGTTTAGGAATATAAAGCAAAGCAACATAGTGGTGAATTAAAATTAAAACCGATAATGCAGTAAAATATAGTCTAAAATTCATCTGTTTAGTAAATAAGACCCTCATTCAGAATTTCCCCTCGAACAACTAAATAATTAGTGTAATCACAGAGTTTAATGTAAACCATTGGGCATGGAAGGTGTTATTTTGTGTAATGAGATATCTGTATCACAGTCCAGGTCGCATACTGAACCTGTGGCCAGCTCATTGTTGGCAGAGGTTTGGGAGATTTGGGACATTCGATCAAATGTTTCCTCATTGTCGTCCATGCAATCCACCACATTGGGAATCATGTTGACGTAAGCTGTAACAATATCTTTGTGGAAAATAGTGTCTTGGTTATAGGAGATTAGCTCATTGCTAATGTTGACCGTCTCGACTGGAGTGGTGGAACACCAATTTCCACCGCATCCAAGTAGGCTGGAGAAGACCTTTCGAAAGTCTGCATTGAAAGCATAGATGATGGGGTTCAGGGAAGAGTTTGCCCAGCCAAACCAGACAAATATGTCAAATGTGGTCTCACTTACACAAGGAAGACCGACCTTGGGGTGGCCAGAGGACCTGTCACAAAAAGGGACCATGCAGTTCAAGATGAAAAAAGGTAACCAGCAACAAACAAACACCCCCATAATGATGGACAATGTCTTTAGAACTTTGGTCTCTTTCTTGATAGACGTTTTCAAGCTGTGATGGTGTCTACAGTCCACTCTGTTGCTCCTACAACTTTGAGCATGTTCTGCAGCTCTTTCCAAAGTGGAGATCCTCCTAATTTGGATCTGTGCAATCCTATAAATCCGTGTATAGGTCACAATCATGATAGCTACAGGAATGTAAAAGCTGATCAAAGAAGATGAGATGGCATACGTCCTGTTTAAACTAGAGTCACAGTCCACCACCTTTGTGTGGTTGTCCAGAGTGTGGCTGTCTATTTTGTTTTTATGCCAGTTCAGCTGGACTGGAATGAAGGAAATCAACACAGAGAGAGTCCAAGCAGCACTGATCATCAACAAAGCCACTTTTTGGGTCATCTTCCTCTCGTACCTAAAGGGGCTTGAAATAGCCCAGTACCTGTCCACACTGATCACACACAGATTTAGGATAGATGCTGTGGAGCACATGATGTCAAAGGCCACCCATATGTCACAAAAGGTTCCAAATGGCCAGTGGCCAGCCACTTCAGCTACAGCTTTCCAAGGCATCACCAACAGGGCAACAAGTAGATCTGAGACTGCCAGAGATACAATAAAAATGTTAGTTACCCTGTTCCTCAGGTGCCTGAATCTCATCACCGCAGTGCACACCAAGATGTTACCAAAAAGGGTCCAGCAGATCAGTAGGGACAGAAGACTTCCAGTGACCACCTGTCTAGTCATCTGCTCCCTTCTCTGCTGAGCTTCTTGGAAGTGAGTCCTGTTCATGAGCATCTTCATGGACACCAGGTGTCTTCTTGTTCTTCTTGTTCTTCTTCAGCACTGTCCAGGTGCTCGAAGGAACGCTACAGTGCCCACTGGGACACTCCAGCGGGACATCTGTCTCCCCATGAGAAGGTGTCCTGCTCTAGCCCCCCGCGTTGTCCTCTCTGGAGTCTTGGTGGAGTTTACTGGTTCTCACCACTGACGGTGGAGCTGGTAGACCACAGCTAGAAGAAGCTGCATAGCTGGGACAGTAAGCGCAGCAGAAGATAGGAAGCATCGCATCTCCTCGTCCTCTGCACATCCTTCCTAAGACACAAGCGCTGCAGCTCTGCAGTTCTGCTCTGTAGGATCCCTGGCTCTTAGCAAGCTCTGTGCTTATCTATGTACTCATAATAAGGCTCCCAGAGCTGTGTACAATGCATACACTTAGTCCAGTCCTCTGCTCAAAATCTGGATGTAAGCTCATTTTTTTATAATAGCCTGGGTGGTCCAAGTGCTGCAGTTTGGTTTCCAGCTCTCTGGTCCTCTATTCTCTGCTGTGTGCTCAATGAGACAGTTTAATGAGCTGCTTCCTAAGACAAGCAATCTGCCAGTCCTTGCCAAATAAACCATACCTGCCTTATGCCTCTGATGTGGAAATGCAAAGTCCTCTGGACAAAGCTCGCACGTCACTCCACATGCAGACGTTCCCAAGTGTGACATGAAGGGCACACACTTTGGTGCCTTGAGGCAGAAGTGCCCCCTTCCACTCCCCACTCCCCCCTCTTTCTATCCACATAGCCTTTTTCTATTTCTGTCTCTCACACCATAATAAATGTCCCCTTGGATTATGCTTTCCCCAGGTTTAGTCACTTTAACCATTTGAATGACAGATGAGTGTACAGAGGTCTTTTCACCCAGGGGTTTATGTTAATATATGACATGGCTGGGTGCTATAATATCCCTCTTGGCATCAGGTTTATGGTGCATGCTTTTTCTTCAGATTTCTTTTCCTCTTGTGCTGCTGTAAATTACATGGAATTCCTATACACTGGCTGCTGCTGGTAGGTTATTTATTGCTTGTAATCAATACTATAGCCATTATGGGTTAATAGTATATGTTTCTTAGATAATGACATTGGAATCTGCTGTCTATTCACTCAAACACTGATAAAATGCTGCCAAAATATATATCATTAGCACAACTCTATTCTATAAATTGTGTGTGTAGTATAACAGTCTAGAAGGGCTGAAGTTTGCACTATAGATTATTTTTATATCTGATAATGCAGCTCCTATTTTACAATAAGCACTGCAAGAAGAAATAAAAGCTATATTAAAATATACTTCAGATCAACACCTGCTATTTCTCTTTTATATATTACATGCCCTTCACTGTATTATATATTACATTATGTCTGGCAAGAAGAGCTAAACTGAGTCCATTTGTTGTACTGAGTTGTTGAGCTGTTAATATTCTTGCAGATTTAGAATGCTAATTATAAATTGTTGCTTTAGTATGCAGAGTGCATATGTCATGGTGTGGCAAAATATTTATATACACATATTAGTCTAATAATACTCATTAAATACAAATGCAACTGAGATTATTTTTAAATATTTAAATTATTTTTTTATAATATATATAATTTAAAGTGCTAAATGCGGGGCAATCACCATGGAAACCAAAATAATGCCAATGTATGTATTTCTCTGCTTATTGTTTCACTTTAGAACATTCCTTTAGAATCATTTTGCATAAGAAATATCCCATATAGCAGGTAGATCCCCATGTGTTTTAAAATTACAGCTTCCATGATGCTTTGCCATTCTAAAGGCATTCTCAAGGCATGCAAAGCATTATGGGTGTTGTGGTTCTACCACATCTAGGGATCTCCCTTTTGGGCACCCCTGCACTACAGTGACTACATATACAACATTAGCATTTTATCTAACCAAATCAATTTTGTTAATTATCATACAGAATTCCATGATATTTTCTCATTTTTATATTTATTAATTGTAGCGAACATATTAACTACTTTGGTGCTGGAGCCAGTTTGCTTTACTATATAATTAATAAATTCAAATCCATTGTTTGTTTGTTTTTTTCCATTATAATTTATTTTCTCGGCATCCACTTCATTTTTTCTAAAAATAACACTTTTTAATTATGTTCCTGTACATTACAAGACAAGAGGCTCGATGCTCATTTGCACTAATGCACAATTCTTGTGAAAACCCCACATTAATCCAGTGCCCACTTGTAAGATGAACACATTTTTCTCTTGAGTGGTATTAAATCATACACTCGTTTTGTGCACAGATTGTGTAGCTAAGAGTTATTTTTCTTGATATGACCCGAAACCTTCTGAAACGATCAAGATCACTGGTATTTTCCACTCCAGTATCTCCAGTAAAATATTTCCTGCTCACTGTCACAGAGACACTGTGCAGAGCAAAGCACGAAAATGAAATCAGCTGACTAAACTACAGAATATCGCACTCATAAAAAAAAATCTCAGTTACACAAAGGGAAATGGGGGCACACCTGGAACATGCATTTCTCTGCAATGGTGCTGCCACAGAGACCAAAATGTATATAAAATTCAGATTAACGAACAGGGCACACACACGAAAATTTTTATTTTTTTACATTTTATTTTTTTTACATTTTACAAGGCTATTAAAAATCACCTATCCCAGCAAACAAATATGGGGATTCGCCAATATTGGGGTACTGTGGCGTAGTTGTGGGCTTAACACGATAGGGCCATATGGTGGAACTGAATCCCCATATTTTTGTTGAGATAGGTCATTTTAAGAAGCCTTGTAAAATTTTAAAATAGTCTCTTTAATTGCAGACACATGATAGATCAGTGAGCTAACACTACTTCCTGAGCTATGCTCCAAGTTCTGCATTCTCAATACAATTTTTCTTTTCTGACAATTTCATTTTTCCACCATGTTCTTTGTATTGCATATATTTTCTTATTGACTATGATAATTGATGTGATTTTCCATTCCCAACATAGCCAGGAATGACTAGTTGCCCGGGTTGGACCTTTCTGCTTCTTCTTTTTTTATATATATTCTTAATTTTTGCAAAAAAAAGAGTTACAAACAATCCCGCAGTGCCACGACAGCAGAAGCAGGCAGATCACAATATACAATTTCACAATATAGGATTGAACTGCACAATTTTGTACAATAAGTAAACAGGGTAATGCAAGTCCTGTCCGAAGATGGGCAGGTATAAGTAGTGACTAATGGTTTTGTAGACTAGTTTTTTTGGCGTAGGATAATAATATAATAAAACATAATAAAATAATAATGTCAGTTCTTGTCACAGGTGTACCCAGCTTCTCATTTACTGATGTGTTAGCATGGGGTCATAGAGAGACAGCAAAAAGTCCAGGTAAATTGCTTGTTATTGCCTTTCAGGTGGGAAGCGTGATAGGCAAGTATGGGTGTCAATGTTAGGTCACGATATATGTAGTTGATCATCAAGTTTACACTTGGTATAGGGAACTAGGGCAAGTGTCTAAAACAGTGATGGCGAACCTATGGCACACCCCACACACAAACACATACACTGTACCCCTCAATGCAGTGTGTGTACACTCAGCAGTCTGTGTGTGTGTACACTCAGCAGTCTGTCTGTGTGTGTACACTCAGCAGTCTTTGTGTGTGTGTGTGTGTACTCAGCAGTCTGTGTGTGTGTGTACTCAGCAGTCTGTGTGTGTGTGTGTGTGTGTGTGTGTAGTCAGCAGTCTGTATGTGTGTACTCAGCAGTCTGTGTGTGTACTCAGCAGTTTGTGTGTGTGTGTATTTAGCAGTCTGTGTGTGTGTGTGTATTTAGCAGTCTGTGTGTGTGTGTGTACTCGGCAGTCTGTGTGCGTGTGTACTCAGCAATCTGTGTGTGTGTGTGTGTGTGTATTTAGCAGTCTGTGTGTGTATTCAGCAGTCTGCTAAATACAGACAGACTGCTAATTACACAGACAGACTGCTAAATACACATACAGACAGACTGCCGAGCACACACACAAACTGCTTAATACACACACAGAGATGTTAATTAGTTCGGACAACTGTATGAGTTGTTTTTTCTAAACTTAAACCTCAGTATTCAGGTTTAATTGCCGTTTTGGCACTTTGAGGTAAAAAAATTGGCATGTATTACGGTTTGGGCACTCGGGCTCAAAAATGTTCGCCATCACTGGTCTAAAACAACATGCCGTTATGCCACATAGTAGGAATTTAGGTACATACAACATAGAAAACACAGGAGGAAGGTACCCCATGGTAAACAACCGTGTGAAATAGTGGGGCAGCCTGTGTCACCGCAGCTGCAAAACTGCGGCATTTAGAGCCCTAATTTGACTCGTTATTCCATTGGGGGCCAACCCTAAGCAAAGCTGCTGTATGGGTGACAACCGAACATCTGCACATTGAGTGTTATATAGTTAGCCACCGTGAGGCGATGAAGCACCTCCGGCAAAAATTGAGGGTATGCCAGCTATTTCCCGATGAGGGTATTAAGGCTAGGGCAGGGGGCCATTTGCTCAACGTAGTTTTACACCTCTCGGATTTGCACTCTTTTAGCCTCTTGCAGGGGCTGTCTAAGGTTATTACTGCGAGTATGTACATCGCCAAAGGTGGCCTATGGCTAGTAATGTATGTTATATTTTGTACTTTCAGCCTTATAAGCATGCATACAGCATTCATTCACACCATGCAATCAACATTCAAACCCTACCCAAAAGCAGTCACATTGCACACAGTATTGAAACATCGAAAATGGCATTCAGACAGTGTTCTGCACTCACTACCAGAACATTGTATTCCATCCCTCCACACAGCATGCCATGTTTGCATATGGCAATCATACCATGCTCCCTGCACATGGCAATCATACCATACTCCCTGCACGCGGCATTCATACCATGCTCTTTGCCCATACACGTGGCACACAGCATTCACACCCTGCAAACTACATTCTGACACTAAACACTGCATTCGCACACAACACATTCATTTTATTATTCTATTATTTCCTGAAAATGATGTGCCTACAGGCACCTGGAATTTAAATCTGATATATTTGGATGGATAGATCAAATATGTCAGAGTAATAGATATACCCAGATCCTTACACATTATTATGACATCACATGTAACCTGCATCTAGAGGTAGTTCATGCTTCTCGTACCCACATTCCATCTGCTCAAGAACAGGCTGTAACTTTGAATCATATATCTTAATTAACAACTTTACATAGGCAGATATCAAGAATATTAGATGGTCACTTTACTTGACAGCTCTGATATGTCTTAAAGCTCTCCCAACCAGGAGACGATCTTGCTTAATTGAAAAGTAGGTTATTAACAAATAATTCAAACAGAAATCTTATAGAGTAGTCTGGGATGCACGTAAGACATATTGCAGCCAGCTGATATGGCTTCAATTCCATTTAAAGAGAGATAGGGTCATAGATATTCAGGAGTTTTGGGAGCTAAAAGGCAGCTGTAAAAATCCACGGACCCTGCTGTTGAAAAATTGCTAATAAAATTAATGAAATAAAACATTTCATTTGTATACATAGTTTTATTATTTTGTTGTTTGTTTTTTGACAAAACAAATAAGCTTTGTCAAAAGATTATACAGAAGAAATTATAAAACGAACTTCAATCCAGAATTG